TTAGGTCTTTTAAGTGCCAACTAACATTAGATTCTGATACATTTATCCCTTGTTTGGGGCTCCATTTTAATGAGATTTTGGGGGAAAAAAATATATTTTGGAATAACAATTTTTTAGAGAATGTGTGGTTAAAAAAGAAGGAAAAGGTTTTGGATTTACGTGTAATATTATTTTATTGAAGCATATGTGGTTGAAAAGAAAAAAGAGAAAAAGTAGTAAAATTAAAATGGAGGCCAAACAGGGGCTTAATGTTTTCACTTCGTTTACCCTAGATTGAACATATCCTGTCTGCCTAAAGTTTATTTATTACATTCTCATCTGTTTTTCTCACTGTTAACCAGGATGATTTCTTACCCCGGACAACAGTAGCACTGGAAACTGTTTACAAATCACTTTTCTGGTAAAAGGTTTCAGGTCCTGCCGTCTTTCTGTATTGCCTTTCTATGATATTTTGTGAATAATCTTGACATCCATTTTAAATTCTGTAGAATATTAATGTTTTTAAATTTTCAAGGTAAGGTTTTCAAAAATGGATCAATTCATGTTAGCTCCAGTGGAACTCAATGACAATGTAATTTATGAATTTTCTTACATTTTTTTTCTTTTCCACAATAATACTTTCATTTATACATTAGAATATAAATTTTATAACAAAAACAAAGTCTTGCATTAAGCCTAAAAGGAAAACAGTCTTCGTCAAACCTGATCAAATGATAATCATCAATTGACCAGCCAGGTCTCATTTTCATTTCCAAATTTAGACAAGCTGAAGTTAATAAAATTTTGTTTCCTCTCAATCTCTCAAGGCACTTGCCAAACTCGTACCTGAATATGATATTTTGAATCTGCATGCACTGACGTTTTTTAATTGAGTAATTGTTACTCTCATAATACTAATTTGGCTTCTCTTGGATAGTTTCCCATGCTTGATGTGCATAATGTGCTTGAAAGATACATGCACACTGGAGGAGAAGATGCTCCAGGATCCACGGCGCCTGTATGCACCTGGTCGCCTCTATCACATTATTGTGAGGAAGCCATTCAGGTATGGAATGAAATTTTGCGGGCCCACATAGGGTCATGTGGGGTCAAATGACCCCACAAATTTTTGCCTTTTCTTTTTTCCCAAAAA